ATATATATAATATATATATATATATATATAAGCCCAGTATCATGGTAATAAGAGTAGTTACCCATAAATAGTCTAAAGGTTAATGACGTGCAGGAGCAGCTGTCCTCCCTTACTATCTTAGTACTAACTGCGAGGCCTCCTAGACAGGGAGGGCCAACCTTGTCTCTCGATCTATTAGACAGGAGACAATTAATATAAACTTTTTTATGAATCCTTATCCCCTATATCTTAATACTATTGTATCTCCTTATAGTTATCTTATATAAGGTGGAGGACTCAGGTGTATATAATACACCCCCCCTGCAGCGTCTGTGTGTCTCCTCCCTGCAGCGTCTGTGTGTCTCCTCCCTGCAGCGTCTGTGTGTCTCCTCCCTGCAGCTCCTGCCGCCTAGTAAGGCGGCAGGAGCTGCAGGGAGGAGACTAGTGCAGCAGGAAGGAGTCTCAACAGTGACAGCAGCAGCAAAGCAGCAACAAGGAGACACATTATTTAAATGATGCATTAAGGGGACAAAAGATGCTGCTGCACACCTCAGCTGGCTGGACACCTCCATGAGGCAGCAGAAGAGACTGGTAGCATGGGGGGTGTACACGAAGGGAGATCTGAGGTGTATAGGCAGATCCTGGGGTGAATAGGCAGATCCTGAGGTGTATAGGCACCTAATCAGGTGTATAGGTAGCTCAAGATGTGTATATATGATGTATGGGGGAAGCAGGGAGTTGTTGCATCGGTGTAGAGGTGCCGAGACACCCTAGATGTGTATTTTTCTTTGTTTTTGCTTGTTACTCCTACTAGGGTTTAATTAAGGGAATTAAATTGAATAAAAAGGCATTAAAATCTCCTTTTGAATGCGCATAACGCAGCAGCTTCCTTAGAAATATTTGCTGCAGTCGTCCCTTAGCCGTTTGCTGCTGCTGCTGCTGCTACTGCTGCTACGGGAGGAGAGGGGGAGAAGGGAGGAGGGATCGGGTGTATATGAGTTAAGCAGAAGGAGAAGAGGGTATATAATTGATGGTAGGGTTTGTTGCCGCTTTGATTCTAGGGTTTAGGGTTTAGTGTTTTAGGGTTTAGGGTTTAGGGTTTAGGGGGAGGGGGCCCGGCCTCCCTACTGGTTATATATCGCTCTCCTGCTGCTGTAGTTCGTGCTGCAGCAGCAACGCAGCAGCAAATGAGCAGCAAATGATTTAAATTTTGTTTCTATTGAGTCAAAGGAGACAAGAAATGCTGCAGGTGTCTCCTTAGGCAGTATTTATCCTTACTGTTATGCAGCGGCAGCTGCTGTGTCTGTCTGTTCTCCGCTGCTGCTGCTGCTGCTGCTGATGCAGCTGCTGCGGCTTGCTGCCCTCGAGCTGTCGAGTGTCTCTTCCTTCTGTCTCCTTCGTGTTATCTCTCTTTCTTTTTCCTTTCTACTACAGCAGCAAGCTGCTGCACGGCCCCACATGCTGCTGCAGGCTTGCTGCAGCAGCAGCAGACATACAGTCCAATGAGGCGCAGCAGCAGGGCGCTGCCTCAAGGCTTTCCTTCTGCTGTTTTCTCTCTGTCCCCTTTTTTATTTCTTCTTTTCTTTCTTGCTGCATGCGTCATCGTCTCCTTGGGATCCGATCCCCAACTCCCCACAGACCCCCCTCAAGGGTCACCGGATAACCCCCGCCCTAGAAGCAGCAGCAACTATCTGCGGCAGCATCAGCAGCAGCAGCAACTGCAGCAGCAGCAACTGCAGCAGCACGAACCAGAAGCCACAGCAGCACAAGATGCAGCACCTCCACAAGATGAGGAATTGACAACGCAAATAGCTGCTGTTGCTGCTCCTGCTGCAGCAAGACAAGACAGCGACTCAGCAGCAGGAGGTGCAGCAACAGCAGCAAACACAGCAACAGCAGCACATGGAGAAACAGCAGACTCTTCTACACCTGTGTCACCAGAGTTTGCTGCTGCTGCTGCTGCTGCTGCTGCTTCTATATCTGCTGCTATAGAGAATGCGCCTGCTGCAGCAGAAACAACAGTAGGAGAGGAATATAAGGCAGCAGTAGCAGCAGCAGCAGCAGCAGCAGCACGAGAGAAATCTGCTGCACAAAGAAGAGACAGTATAGCAAGACGACGATGGAGACGCAAGGCAACAAGAGACAGGGCCCCCGAGCTGCAGCTAGAGCAGCAGCACAAGCAGCAGCAGGAGGAGGAGGAGACAAGAATTTTACGACAGCAGCAGCAGGAGCAGCAGCAGCTACTGCAGCAGCAGCAGCAGCAACTACGTGGTACTTGGGCCTATGGTATAGTAGGTAGCTGCAGCTGCAGCAAACTAGTGTGGGGTCCAGACATGTCTCCCTGCAGCAGCAGCAGCAGCACACCAACTGCTGCTGCTCCTGTTGCTGCTTGTGGATCTACATATGATGGTAAATCTCTTCGTCGTGGTTATTGGCAGCAGCAGCAGCAGCAGCAGCAGGATGCAGAGACAGAGGAGGAGGTATCCAATAACTGTCTCCTTTCTCTCTATGGAGACACTATTACCCTAAGAGGAGACCCATTAGGTCGTCAAGGGGATCGTCAACTCCGTCTCCTTGCATGCCAAATTGCTTCTCTTAGAGATGGAGGTGCTGCTGCTGCTGCTGCTGCTGCTGCTGCTGCTGCTGTTGCTGCTGTTGGTGTTGGTGGTGGTGGTTGTTGTTGTTGTTGTGGTGGTGGGGGTGTTGTGTTGCTGTTTCTTCAGCTGCTATTGTTTCAGCTGCTGCTGCTTCTTATTGTGCTGCAGTTGCTGCTGCTGCTGCTGCTGCTGCTGCTGCTGCTGCTGTTTGCTGCAGGCCGTCAAAGGGATCCAGCTGTCCCCTCATCCTTATTAAGTGTCTCCTTATCTCGTTTTGCTGCTGCTTCCTTCCGTCTACATACCTTAATAGGAGGGGCAAAGGTGCTGCTTGTCTCCTGTCCCTCCTGCATGCGCTCCGCTGTCTCCTTTTATCTGCAGCGCAGCATAACCCCTCCTGCTGCTGGTGCTGCTGCACCTGCTGCTGCTGCTGCTGCTTCTAGTTGTGCTGCAGAGTTCGCCTTAGGGGACCTGCAAGCTAAGTACAGGGCCTTAGGGGTAGCAAGACCATGGGGTCGTCAATCAGCAGTATGTAGTGGTACTTTTGTGTCTTTTGCTGCTGCATGCAAACAGCAGCAGCTGCCTCTGCTAATGGAGGCAACAGCAGCACAAATACATGACCCTCTCCTGTCTATTAGGGATATAAGGAGAGCTTTTATTGCTGCTGCTAGCAGCTTCAATGCTTATCTACTGCATGCACACCCAAGGGCAGTAGCCACACACTTACTCCTTGTAAGTCTACATATACTAGCTAGCTAGCTAGCTAGCTAGCTAGCTAGCTGGGTAGCTAGCTAGCTGACAAGCTGCGTAGCTAGTTGATTAGCTGCGGAGCTAGCAAGCTACGTAGCTAGCTGACTCGGTGCTGCTGCCTGTGCTGCTGCTGCTGCTGCTGCTGCTGCTGCAGAAGTGCGGAGAGGGCCGCCTTGGCGAGGTCCACCACGGAAGCTGGCGGACGTTGGAGAGATGGGCGGAGGCGCAAGGACTCGGGATAGAGGAAGCGCTCAGACGTTATCATCAACAAACGTAAATGAGGGTTTAGGGTTTAGGGTTTGGCGATGAGGGTTTAGGGTTTAGGGTTTAGGGGTGGAGTGTCGGACTTTGAGAATTGTGACGGAGAGGCTTTGTTCATCAACAGCCTTGCATTATTCTTGTTGCTGGATTTAGGGTTTAGGGCTTAGCATTCAGGGTTTAGGGTTTAGGGTTTAGGGTTTAGGGTTTAGGGTTTGTATGCAGATATTCGCCTAGTGGCGTGACATTGGCTGTGTTAGATCCTCGTCCTCTAGAGTTTATAGAGGCGGATGTTGGACCGGCGCTGCAGTACCTGCTGTCTACGCCAGCAGCAGCAGCAGCAGCAGCAGGAGACAATGGAGAGACGGTGCAGCAGCAGGTGTCTCCTCCTCCTGAGGAGACAGTTGGCGAGGGCCCCTCAATAGGGGACGATACAAAGAAGGAGGAGACAGGAACAGTAACAGAAGAAGAAGGAGGAGGAGGAACAAGAGAGGAGACAGATAAGAAAGAGGAAGGAGGAGAGGAGACAAAAGGAGACAATAAACAGGAGACAGCAGCAAATGCATGCAAGACACCTGTTATTCATTATCTAGAATGTGCCTCTGAGCAGCAAAACGTAATTGCTTTCTTCTCCTTTTTCCTCCCCTCTGCTTCCTCCTCCTCTGCTGCTGCTGCAGCAGCAGCAGCAGAAGAGGGATCAGAAGAAAGAGGAGGAGGAGGAGAAGAAGAAGAAGAAGAAAAGGAAGAGGACCCTGTCTCCTTAATGCTACAAGCAAGGAGACTCCTTGTAGAGTTGTTAGCAGCAGCAGGAAAGAATTGTTTGCTGCGTAGATTAGTCTCCTCTAATGTTGCTGTTAGGGCTAATATACATCTACCTGTCTCCAACCCTAAAGGAGCACTAATACAGGTATACCCCCTGCTGCTGCTGCTCCTGCTGCTGCTGCTGGTGGTGGTGGTGGTGGTGGTGCTGCTGCTGCTGCTTCTTACGCTCCTGCTAGTGATGGTGCTGCTAATGTTGCTGCTATTGATGGTGCTGCTGCTGCTGCTGTTGTGCGGTGGTGCTCTTGCTGCTTCGCCATCCTAGTGCTGCAGTATCTTTCTGCTGCTGCTTCTCTCTGCTGCTGCCTCTTGCTGCTGCGTGCCCAGCCACGGTGACGGTGTTTCATCACGCTGTCTTCTAGGGTTTAGGGTTTAGGGTTTAGGGTTTAGGGTTTAGGGTTTAGGGTTTTATGTGTGTATAGGGCCTTAAAGGAGAGTCCTCCTGGTGATTGGTTTGTAAGAGAGCAACAACATCTATTTGCTTATCGTCATGTCTTCTTCTTTCCTCAAGATATACTACAAGCTGCTGTTGATCTTGCTATAGGTTTGTTGCTGCTGCTGCTGCTGCTGTTGCTGCTGCTGCTGCTACTGCTGCTGGTGTTGCTTGGGGTGCCGATTGTCTTGTTACAGCTTTTCTGCCACTGCAGACAATATCAGTTGTCGCTGCAGCAGCAATAACTGCAGCAGCAGCAACAGCAACAGCAGCAGCAACAGCAGCAGCAACAGCAGCAGCAGCAGCAGCAGCAGCAGCAGCAGCAGCAGCTGTGTGTGTATTTATGCAGATACTGCTCATGATTCTTCATTGGGTATAACAAAGTTATCTTCTCTTCGTCAGGCATATAAGTTATCTGTTGGTTTGCTGCAGCAGCTGTCTCCTTTGCTGCTGCATTTGCTGCTGCAGTCTCCTGCAACAGATTATTTATGTGCTGCAGTGCAGCCACAAACCCTAGCTAGGTACGGGGGACAGCAATTGGAGACAGTGCTGCAGCAGCGGTGGCTGCGGGCATTTAATCAACAAAAGGAGACACTTGCTGCTCTGCTGCTGCGGTGGAGACTGTCTCTCCCTACACCTAATGCATTTGCTGCAGCAAACAGCAGCAGCAGCAAACAGCAGCTAATTCTACGGTGGCAACGGGAGCAGCCACGACTAACCCTCAATTTATTCAGCAGCAGCAGCAGCAGCAGCAACAATGGTAACTATAACAATGACATCAGCAGCAGCAGGAAGGGCAACACAAATATTATCACAAGCAGCAGCAGCAGCAGCAGCAGCAGCTTAATACCTACTCCTACTCCTGTGTCTCCTTATCCATACAATAGCCCAACAGATATAACTGATTTGCCTCTGTCTTCCTTTGAGTCTTTTGCTATACCAGGGGGACCTAAGCTGTCTATACAGTCACAAGGAGGAGACACTCCTGTATACAGCAGCAGCAGCAGCAGCACCAGCATTAGCATCACCAGCAGCAGCACCACCACCAGCAGCAGCGGTAGCAGCAAAATTACTAACAACCCCATAGCTGCAGGGCAGCAGAACAGCAGCAGCAAGGGGAGCAGCAGCAACGGGAGGGGAGGACGCCAGAAACGGGGTGGAGGATCTGCAGCACCACTCCTTGCTGCACCACCACCATCCCAAGCAGCAGCAGCAGCAGCAGCAGCAGCAGGAGCAGCAGGTTATAAATATTTATCATTCCCTATGCATCATCCTTGTTATAATAAATGTAGTGTGCTGCTGCAGAAAGGAGACGATCCCAACGATCCCAGGGCATCCGTTGTGCTGCAGCTTAGCTGTTGGGTAGGGCAGCAACTTGTACCAAGAGAGGATGCAGCAGCAGAACTATTCCTTTCTATTGTTAAACAACAAGCACAAGGGGTTAGTCGCTTCCTCCTGCTGCTGCTGCTGCTGCTGCTGCAAGGGATGCTGCTGCTGCTGCTGCTCTATCTCTGTATCCATATTGATAGCAGCCGAACCGACTAGTGTTTAGTGTTTAGGGTTTAGGGTTTAGGGTTTATTGTTTGTGTGTATGTATGTATATATGTATGTATGAATAATAGGTAATAGAGGAAGCAGCAAGAGCAGGAATAGCAGCAGCAATATCTGGTGGTACATTTGCTGCAGAGAGTCATAATAGTTTACTAAGAAGAGGAGACACAATAGTTGTCTCTGTTGCTGGTCCCTTTGATGGTTTATTACGTGTTTTGCCTGCCTTATTACTTCCCTTATCCCCATCACCATCAGCATCATCATCAGGAGGAGCAGGAGGTGCAGGATCCAGTGTATCCCCCTCATCATCATCATCATCATCATCATCATCAGCAGCAGCAGCAGCAGCAGCAGCAGCAGGTGCAACAATAGCAGATATATCCGATAATACAGTATCTATAGCAAATAAATTATTACTATCTATGTTACAGCAACCTTCTTCTTCTCCTGAGTTATTACTTAATGAGATGGCATTAGATATGTTAGTATTTCCTCAATCTAGTAAGATATATATACAACAACAATTAATAAGAGCACCTATTGATACAAGACTTGCTGCTGCATGGAGAGATACATTATGGCAAAGTATGGCTCTTCATGCTACTATTGAGGTAAGATATAACACAAGCAGCAGCAGCAGCAACAGCAGCAGCAGCAACAGCAGCAGCAGTTGGTGGTGACGGTGGTGTTGCAGTAGGAGTAGGAAGAGTAGGAGTTGCATGGATGACACACGCAACAGCAACAACAAGACACGCAACAGGAACTTTTGCTGTTGTTGGTGTAGTTGCAGCAGCAGCAGCAGCAGTAACGACAATTGCTCCTGCTGCAGTCTATTGTTGTATCTTGGGGATTTTATTGTCAGCTCTTGAGGTCTCTATGAAGGGTTTAGGGTTTAGGGTTTAGGGTTTAGGGTTTGTTTGCTTATTGTATAGGGGAATGTAACAGAAGAATCAGCTATTAATCTTATTAGTCTTGTACTTAGAACTCTTAGGCCCGTCTCCCTACATCCAGTCTCAGGTCTGCTGCTGCTGCTGCTGCTGCTGCTGCTGTGGCTGCTGCTGCTGCTGCTGTGTTTGGCGCTGTTGCTAGTGGTGTATGGATCCTCTCTTGTTGTGTCTTCTGCCTGTTGTGTGGAGGAGTTGCTGTGCATCTGTATTGCTGCTGCTGCTGCTGCAGTTGCTGCTGTCCTTGCTGCTTCCTCTGCTGCTGCTTCCATGCCCGTTGTCTATGCGCTGCTGCTGCTGCTGCTCTTTCTACCGCATTTAGGGTTTAGGGTTTAGGGTTTAGGGTTTAGGGTTTAGGGTTTGTTGCTGCAGAGGTCCTACCTTCGCAAATAGTAGATCTAAGGGGTATATATATGTTAGCTCCTCCTGCACCTCCTGTACCTACTGGGTCTCTCTTTGGCAGCAGCAGCAGCAGCAGCAGCAGCAATGGCAGCAATGGCAGCAGCGACAGCAGCAATCAGCGGATCCCTCCTGCTGCTCTTTATGTACATCCTTCCTTTTCTAAGACAGCATTTCATGCTGTTCGTGTTTATATACAAGTAAGCTGCTGCTGCTGTTGCTGCTGCTGCTGCTGCATTTGCTGCGTTTGCTGCTGCTGTTGCTGCTGTTGCGGTTGCTGGGTAGATATTGATTATATCTTACCCATGCATGCATGCAAACCTGCATGCAAATGCATGCATGTTGTGTACAGTTGGGTCCAATGGGGAGCAACCTGAAGTCTCCAAGTGCAGCAGCAGCAGCAGCAGCAGCAGAAGCAGCAGGTGAATGGTTTGCTGCATCAGTGAGTATGTGGTTACAGCAGCAATGGGGAATAAGTACAGCAGCAGCAGCAGCAGCAAAACCTCCATATTTTATTATAATAGGAGGAATAGGATATATTTGCTGCTCTCTTGTCTCCTCTATATCAATAAAGCCCCTAATCTTGCTGCTGCATGCAGCAATAAAATTTCTTTCTTCTCTTTCTCTTGTTGATGCATTAAGGGATATACATTTATTTAATTATTCTTTTATTAATAATAATAATAATAATAATAAATATTATATTAATAATATTAATACACCTTTTCTTCCTCCTCCTCCTTCTTCTTCTTCCTCTTCTTCCTCTTCTTCCTCTTCTTCCTCTTCTTCTTCTTCCTTTAATTTTCCTTCTTTTCCTTCTTTTTCTTCTTCTTTTTCTTCTTTTTCTTCCTCTCTTTCTTCTCTTTCTTCTTTGCCACAAACACCATTTACTCAACAACTTAATATCGCTAAAACACACCTGTAAGTTACATCCTGCTGCTGCTGCTGCTGCTGTTTCTGCTGCTGCTGCTGCTGCTTCCGTTGGTGCTGCTGTTGCTGTTGTTGTGTGTTGGTGTTGTTGTTTGGTGTCTCTGCTGTTCCTAGTGCTTGAGTTGTTGCTGCTGCTAGCTGCTGCTGCTGCTGCTGCTGTTCATGCTGCTGTTGCATGCAGTTTTGCTGCAGTTTATGGTGGTGTCGGGGTGTCAATGCAGTATTGTTTATGCATGCATGCATGCATGCATGCATGCATGCATGCATGCACAAACATATATGCTTGTACGTGTTTGTTTTGTGGCGTTTAATTAGATAAATAAATAATAATTAAATATAAATAAATAAATATATTTATTTATATATTTATTTATTTATGCAGGGACCAGCCCTTATTAGAGCAAGGAATAGCTCAGTGTCTGCAGGCATTACGGACAGTGCCTCGTTTGCTGCTAGCAGTTCGTGGCTCCCGTGTCTCTCGGCAGCAGCAGCAGCAGCAGCAGCAGCACGGACTGCAGCAAGGAATTGCTGCAGATACAGCTGAATTAGGAGACATAGAGGGATTTATATTTATTAAGGAACCTGAACAATTTAAGGAGACACTTCTTGCTAATGGTTATCATTTCCCTGTTGCTGCTGCTGCTGCTGCTGCTGCTGCTGCTGCTCATCATCATCATTAATTATTATATATACAGGAAGGATATTTAATTTATTTATTATTTATATATTATTTATATATTTATTTATATATTATTTATTTATTGTTTATATATTTATTTATATATTTTATCTTATTTTATTATATATATAGTATATATTATATATACTATATAAATATAATTGTCTTATTATATACAGATATATATGCATTATATATATACAGATATATTATTATATATATTATTAATAATATATAATATATAAGATATATATAATATAATTTATTAATATAATGCATAAAAAGAAAGACAATCCGTTATTTATACAAAAAGTACAGGAAAAACGTACATATGCATGCATGCATCCGTGCATGCATGCATATGATGCATGCATGCATGCATGCATGCATGCATGTTGCTGCTGTTGCTGTAGTAGTAGTAAACAATGCAGCAACTGCAGGAAACAATGCAGCAGGGTCAGCGTAGCCAACAGGTACACTGCTGCAGCAACAGCAGCAACAGCTGCAAATGCAGCAACTGCAGCAGCAACTGCAGCAGCAACTGCAGCAGCAACTGCAGCAGCAACTGCAGCAACAACTGCAGCAGCAACTGCAGCAGCAACTGCAGAAGCAAGAGCAGCAGCAACTGCAGCAGCAACTGCAGCAGAGACCTGTTGGGCCTTCTGCAGCAGCAGCTAATGCTGCTGTGCATACACTAGCAGCACAATCTTCTGATGCTGCTGCTGCTGCTGCTGCTGCTGCTGCTGCTGCTGCTGCTGCTGCCGCTACATCTAAAGGATTGAGCGGTGCATGCAACTCTTCCGATGTTTGCCACATACAACATATACATATATTTATAAATAAATAAATAAATAAATACAAATATATAAATATATATATATGTATTTATATTTATATATTAATGCATACGTGTATATGTATATATATACATACACGTATATACGTACAATTGTACACATATATATATATATATATATATATATA